AATGGCTTCCCCTTGCCAGAAGGCAGGGATAGATGGGATATTGGGAAGGAATTGTTCCCCTGTGGGGGTGCTGAGGCCCTGGCACAGGTTGCTCAAAGCAGCTGTGGCTGCCCCATCCCTGGAATGGAAGTGTTCCAGTTTGGATGGGGTTTGGAGCAACCTGCAATAGTGGAAGGTGTTCTTGCCCATGACAGGGGGTGGACTGGATGAACCCAAACCATACCATGATTCTGTGATAAAACATCATCCTCAAGTGTGTCTCCTTTCTGTCCCAGGAACCTTTGGAAGGATCCCTCAGCCTTCAAGCCTGAGAGGTTTCTCAACGCTGCAGGGACTGAGGTAAACAAGATGGAGAGTGAAAAGGTGTTGTCTTTCGGCCTGGGGAAGAGGCGATGCATCGGGGAGACCATAGGCCGCTGGGAGATCTTCCTCTTCCTCACCACCCTGCTGCAGCAGCTGGAGTTCAGCCTCCGTCCTGGTGATGAGGTGGACATCACTCCTCAGTATGGACTGACCATGAAGTACAAGAAGTGTGAGAGCTTCCAGATCAAGCAGCGCTTTCCCATGAACAACTCTTCATAAGCTGCTCCTGGAGGAAGTGTTGCCTTGCAGGAGAAAGGGAGTTGGATACTGCTTTTTGCACAGCCCCTCATTGTGTTGCTTCAGTAGAGGATTGGAAATAGGAGCAGGGAGGAATAAAGCTGGCTTTGTTGGGCTCTTCACAGCCCTTGGAGCCAGCTCCATCACCCTTTCCCACAGGGATGCTCACTAGAGGCCCAGCACTCAACTCTCTTGGAGAAATCTGGGGAGGAGGATGTTTGGGGCTGGGAGAAGTGGGGTGGGATATTGATGGGATGTCCTCCACCCTGAGCCAGAGCTCTGTGTGCAACTCCCTTCATCCAAACAGAAACAAACCTACAGGTTCCTCCCTGAGAAACCTGTCCAGCCTTATCCCACAGGGTTAAAGCCTCTTTTCCAAAGTCTCCAGCTCCTTGTGCCAATGGGAATGGGCACTCCCTGATGTTCCAGCTGCCTCCTGAAGGGCTCTTGAGGCTCCACCTCGAGTGGAGCTGTCCTGGGTGCACCAACACACCTCAATTCCTTGAATGTAAACTCATGAAATGAATTCCCAAGTGTTTCTATCAATCCCTGGTGGGAGCCTACCAGGAAAATTCAATATATCCAGCAGCAATCTTGCTCACAAATGGAAATATTAGCTAAACTCCTCACATGAAGCCTCCTGGAAAATATCAAAGGACTGGGAAAAAGGGATGGGAAGCAGTAAGAGGAGCTGTAGAACACTTCTGCCTTTCAGACTAAGTATTTGCTGCCTTTTTTCCTAATTATTAGGGTATTTTCTTATAAAGCACCAGATTTTTATATGCAGACTAGGTAAAGGAAGAAGGATTCGAGGACTGCAGGAGGTGCCTTATGCTGCATTCCACTTCAGCCAGCCTCATGGCAAGTGGAGCAGCAATTCCTGCTTGTTTCTACCTGTATGGAATGCAGATGTGCTCTGGGATAGAAACCACACAGGATTTCTAACCCAATAAATACTTATATGAAAGTTTCTTAAGTTTCTTACTGGTCTTATTCCAATGGAAAATGGAAAAAAAACCCCTACACCTCCCTCTCATCCTTAAAAATCTGACTTGAATGTGTTGGATCAAGGTTTTTCCTATGGGACATGAATGGGCTGTGACACCAGTGGCATTCGGGGGAGATTTTAGTCCTTGTGGGTCCTTGTGGCTCTAGGCCTCATCCTGTCTAAAGTCTCAGCTGGGATTTGCAGGGAAGTGATGCCAAGCTCTGGATCAGTTCAGGATTTCACTCAAAATCAGGACTAGCCTTTATATCCCTGAAAAAAATAAGGAGTCAATAGCTCAGGGACTGATCCATGGAGGGATACTTCATGCCATCTCCTGCTCATTCCCATCTCAGAACACAATTCTTACTGAGGCTTTGCATATTTTCCCTTTAAAAAAAACAAACCAAAAGGAAAAGGGTAATAAACATGAATTTCCCATGCAAATAACAAGGGACCGCATGGAAGACTGGGGTCTGTGCATCCCTGAAGTGGAATCCCTGCAGGGATCAGCACTGCAGGATTTCCAGCCTCATTAGATGACAAAGTTATGTTCAGTTTTGGGGTTGTGGTGTGGAAAACTGCTCTGGAGCAGGGGAGACTTCCTGCCCCCAAGACCTCTCTGCCCTCCGTGCTGTTGTTGCTGCCAGCGGGACGATCGTGGCTCTCATCAGTGTCCCCCGCCCAGCGCGGGCTTGGCTCGGGGAGGTCAATGGCACACGGAGCCAACGCTCCACCCGCTCCTACCGCCCAGAAAAAAAACCCGCCCAGCAACCAGCCAAACAGCCTCCGGGGGAAGGCTGGGTTGAATTGAACGGAGGAGAAAGTGGAAGGTGGATGTGTCTGTGTCGCTGCCGGTGGGACGGAGGGATGGTATGGAGGGCGTGGAGGTGATGGAGGGGAGGGAGGGGATGGGGGTGTGATGGAGGGGAGGGAGGGGAGGGAGG